CTGAATTGCCATTTTGTTGTCTTCCGAGAGAAGAAATTCCATACTCTTCGCCCTGGATTCCTCGTGCGGGCGTATGTGAGCGTTCATGTCGTCCTCCATGCTGTCCCTCGCCCGCCCTTCTCCTCCCTCGAGGTGGAGCAAAGACTTGGCCCTCTTGCTGACACTCCTGGGCACCGGGATCGCCTCGAGGATGAGAGTCAGGTCCTTATGGAAGGCGTCGAGGTTGGTCTCCTGGAGGTAGAGCCATTGGTTGGACAGCCCCGTGTCTAGGTCGGTCTCGAGGAGGGCCCGGGGGGGGTCGGCGCCGCGGGGGAAGGTGGCCCTCGAGCTCCAAGGGTCGCCGGACGAAGGGGGGCAGCTGGCACTCGAGGACGAGGCGGAGAACGGAGGGCCGGCGCGACGTGGTGCTTCCCCGGGCGAGGCATGGCACACACTGGCCGCCCGGGGGAGGGTCGGGGACGAGGAAGGGGGAGGGGGTGGGTCGCCGCCCCCCCGGCCCCCCGCCGCCCCCTCCTCCCCCCGCCGCCCTCCGCCACCCGTAAGGATCAATATCCGTGCCGTTTCTGCGCAGACTCGCCCCTACCGCTTCCAGATTGGGTGTGCTGGCGGCCAGGCGCGCGCGCGCGGACCTCGTGCTCGAGTAGAAGGCGCTGAGCCTTGACCTTAGGGCGTCATGGGTCGAGGACGAGGTTGGGGGCGAGGTCAAGGACGAGGTCGAAGTCAAGGACGAGGTCGAGGGCGCGTTCAAGGAAGACCTCAGGCCGTGGGAGGTCAGGGAGGTCGAGGACGAGGTCAGGTGCGAGTTGACCTTCGACCTCGGCGCCTCCGGGGACGTCGGCGGAGATGACCTGGCCTCGTCGTGACCTCCGTTGACTTCGGGCGAGGTCGAGGACGAGGTCACGCTCGAGGACGAGGGCGGGGTCGCGGTCAAGGCCGAACTCAGACTCGCCGACCTCGAGAAGTATTGCCGTCTCGCGTTCACTAATTTCGCCCTCTGGAGGTGGTAGGAGGTCGGCCGCTGGGGGGGGGGGGGGGGGAGGGGGGGCAGGCGGCCTCCGGTGACGTCACGTGAGGGTGTGGCGTCACGTGGCGAAGGTGTGACGTCACGTAAAGGTGTGTCGTCACGTGGAGAGGGTGTGACGTCACGTGGCGAAGGTGTGACGTCACGTGGCGAAGGTGTAACGTCACGTAAAGGTGTGTCGTCACGTGGCGATGGTGTGACGTCACTAAGCGACGCCAAAACCTCATTGGTCAAGGACGACGTGACGTCACAAGACGACGACGACGAATCCACCACGTCACTCGGGGAATCGATGACGTCACGGCGCGAGGGAGGCGACGAGGGCCTCCCATTGGTCGACGCGGGAGGACCGTCACGCGGGGAAGCCATCTCATTGGACGAGGAGTTTTCGTCACGCGGGGAAGCTCTCTCATTGGACGACGAGGAGGAGGCCGCCTCGCGCCCTTTGCTCTGATTGGTCCGTCGCTTGCTGCCCCACCTCAGGAGGGCGTGGCCTGGCCTCTTGACCTCAGGGGACGATAAGGGCGACGACGAGGAGGAACAGGTCAGGGATTTGGGCTTTGGGGGGATTTTGGGCTTGGCCACGCCCCCGCGAGAGGGTTTCAGCCGCTGCCAGATGGTGGGCGGGGTTTGGGCTGAGGGGGGCGTGGTCTGGGCTGAAGTGGGCGGAGTTTGGGCTGAAGTGGGCGGGGTCTGAGTTGGAGTGGGAGAAGTTTGGGCTGAAGTGGGCGTGGTTTGTGATGAAATGGGCGTGGCCTTGGGTGGAGGCATGGGTTTCGCTGGAGGAGGCGTGGCTTGTGGTGAAACGGGCGTGATTTGTGCTGAAATGGGCGTGGCTTGTGATGAAACGGGCGTGATTTGTGCAGAAGGGGGCGTGGTTTGTGCAGAAGGGGGCGTGGCTTGTGCCGAAAGGGGCGTGGCCAAGGGAGTTATTCTCTGGATCCTCGGACTTCTGCTCTCCACGATCTTTACTTTCGTTATGATCGTTTCTCCGCTTTCGCTTCTTCCTCCCTCGATTATCCTCGCTTCCCTACCTCCTCCTCCATTCCTATCGCACTGTTCTCCACCTCCCTCATTCGCTCTTCCTTCCTCCTCCTCTTCCCCGTCTCTCTTACCTCCTCCTCCTTCCTCCTCCCCTCCTGCCCTTCCTCCTCCCTGTATTCTCGTCTCCTCCTCTTCCCCTTCGTCGAAATAGCTCTCTCGCCAGTTCACTTGCTTCACCGACGGGCAGAAGGTCACGTGATGGGGCATGGGGGCATCCCGCGCCCTGTTCTGGGGCACCTCCTCGCCCGTCTTGGCGACGTAGACCTCCACACGCCCGTAGGATCGCGTCTTGACCCTCGTGGGCGTGGGCGGCGCCTCCTTGGGCATGGCGAAGGGTGTGGCACTGTCCTGGGCACTGTTCTCGGCACTCGCGGTGTTTGGGGTACGCGTGGGCACCTCGGGAGCGGCGGCGGCGTAGCTCCTCCCTCCGCGGCGGTCAGTGGGTAACTGAGGGGAGTGCCAAGGATGGGTACTGCTATTAATATCCGTGACGTCACGATGCCATGACGTCATAGTTTGACCGCTCGGGGCTTCGCCATTGGTCCTTTCGGTGGGATTGGTGACGTCATCGGAGTGGAGATCGCTATCGGAGCTCTGATTGGCTGAGGGCACCTCACCTGCGTACTTATTGGCTATGACTTCGACGACCTCTCGTTCTGCATCCTGATTGGTCACTTCCTCGAAATCACCTTCCTGATTGGTTAGAATCTCGTGCTGAATCACCTCATGGGCTAGCACCTCCACTTGATTGGTCAATTGCACGTATTCTGGGTTCTGATTGGTCAGCCGCACCTGTTCTGGAATCTGATTGGCCAATTCCTCCTCTTCTGGCCGCTGATTGGTCAATTCCATCTCTTCTAAGCGCTGATTGGCCAATTCCACCTCTTCTGGCATCTGATTGGTCAGTTCCACCTGTTCTGGCAGCTGATTGGTCAGTTCCACCTGTTCTGGGCGCTGATTGGCTGGCTGCACCTGTTCTGCGATCTGATTGGCCAATTCCACCAGCTCTGCGTTCCTATTGGCCAGCACCAACCCAGCGAGCACTGATTGCTCAGCAAGCTCTCTGGTCTCATTGGTGTCAGCTCTCCGCTCATCCCAATACCCGTTGTCTCTTCTGCGGCTCTGATTTGGTCAAGCTCCGCCTTCTCCGGTCATCATCGTGGTTCAATTGGGCCAGTTCAAACTGCTCTGGCTGGCTTGGCGTGCTCTGAGTTGGGCGTAATACCCCTCGCCTCGTTCGCCGGCGCCCTCATGATTGGTCAAGCCCTCGCCTCTCCTTCTGGTTCCCTCATTGGGCCAGAGTTCAAGACTGCTTACCTGGGCGCTCTGATTGGGCTAATAACCGCCTCTCGGGCGCTCGGGGCCGGACCTCCTGATTGGCTAATACCGCCTCTCCCAGCCTCTGATTGGTCAAGATCGGAGACTTAAGCCCTTCTTGCTTCATAAACTGCTGAGCCAGGTCGACGCTGATTGGCTGAGGCCGATGGCGTGCCGCGCCCTGGAATGATGGCCAATCCTTTCTCGTGTGAAACTGCGGTGGGGCGCGTGGGAATTTGACCTCTATTGACCTCTCCCTGCTCCCGGGTCACGTGACGGGGCAGGTCAGCAGCAGGAACTGGTGCGGGGGATCGAAGAGGTCAAGTCAATTCTGTTCTCGGTCGTATGCCCCATCCTCTTCATAATTATTCCGCGTCTCCTTTCTGTGTCTTCTTCCCTCTTAGTACGGGGGGGGGGGGGGGGGGGTTATCCTTTCAATTGTCCCTGATGCGCCCGTATCTCCTCTTTCTCGCTTTCCCCTTCTCTTTTCTTCCTCTTCCGTGCGTCCCGGTGAAGAAGTGGCTTGGAGTACCGGGCTGCGGTCGTTTCCAGGTCTCCCACTTACAGATTCGATGTTTTTAAATCGGGGGCGGGGTTGTTTTTTCTTCCATCAGCGTCTCGTCCTTTTTCTTTCTTTTTTTTTTCTCGTCTTTCCTTTTCTTTTTCTCTCTTTCCTGTTTTTTCTCAGGGGCCTTTGACAGTTGCATCTGCCCGATGGGACGCGTGCTACTTTTCTTCTCCCTCTGGCGTCATTTTTTTATCCTCCTTCATGATTTCGAGGGCTTTTCGGCCTTTGCTTTCTGTCGCTTTCTTCTTTTCGCCGGCCAGGATGTCGCTTGTCATCTTTTCAGCCGTCGGCATTTGCCCGGGCTTCTTTGTAGTATATCTTCCCTGTTCTGTCCAGTATACGGCGCTAGTCCCAAATAGAGAACCGTCCCACTCATAGGGCATGCAGGCTTACTCCCGCCTCGAGGTGGCGCGCTCTTTTCTTCCCCAACGCCTCTCCCCCCCGTTTCTTTAGGGTTTCTCTCTTATGTGTCGTGTTTTTCGATTCTTTTTCTTTCTCCCATCGATTTTATCATGATATATCAACCAGAGATATCTCTGTCCTTCTCCGGATTTTCCTCCCCGACGGTTTAGGTGGAGGCGGAGCCATGCTGTAGTGCCAACACATCTATGGCCCCTCTTGCATGCGACATCGGTGCGTAACAGAGCCTTTGAAAAGCGTGCCTCTCCGTTGTACCTTTACTTCTCAGCGTGCAACTGCTGTGAGAATTTGCCTGTCGTCTGCTCTGACCCTTTCTCTCTCTCTCCTCCTCTTCTCTCTCTCTCTCTCTCTCGTTCTCTCTGTCTTGTCTCTGTTCTGTCCTCTTGTTCTCGTCTTCTCTGCATTCTCTCCTCTCATCCTCTTCTGCGCTCTTCTCTCTTCTCTCGGTCTCTCTCTTCTCTCTGCTCTCTCCTCTCTCTCTCTCTCTCTCTCTTGTTTTTTTGCTTTCTTTGTTTTTCATTTAATTTTTTTATAAGCTGTTTACGACTTCTTTTTCAGTGACAAGAGTTGCCTGCAAGCGGCATACGGTGTTGTTTGTTCTGTTTATATATATTACTTATTTTTTTTTTTTTTTTTTTTTTTTTTTTTTTTTTTTTTTTTTTTTTTGTTTTTTTTTTTTTTTTTTTTTTTTTTTTTTTTTTTTTTTTTTTTTTTTTTATTTTTTTTTTTTTTTTTTTTTTTTTTTTTTTTTTTTTTTTTTTTTTTTTTTTTTTTTTTTTTTTTTTTTTTTCTTTTCACTATCAATATATTGCCCTCATGCTAATTGCTGTTTTGTTTTTTCTTGAGCCTTGTATATTCGCGTTAATGCATGCTATTCTTCGCCGGTTGGCTATGTATTTTCACAGTGGTTATTCGGTCAATGGCATGACTATTTTTTTCCAACACCACATACCCCTTTAACAGTGTCAATTGTCAAGTGGTAGGTATTCATCAGTGGGCACGACTTTTTTCCATAATCTCTTTGTTGTTGCTCATGGACTCTCCAAGTGTTCGGAGTAACGTAGCTTCTTAAGCTCTCCTTGACGACTTTAGCTCTATTCTTCCGTTTCTCTCTCTATCTGTGAGTTGTTATTTCTATCCGCTTCCTGCTTTTTTATCAACGATTTTTCCAGTCACCTTCGTCTCTCTACATATGTTCATAGTCGCAAACTCCGTTTTCTTCCGTCTCTGTCTTTCCTGTCCATGGTCTCGGCTTTCATGTGCAACTGATATACGTTGTGCAACGGATTTGTATTCTCTTTGTCCCACGTTTATCATTAATGATACCATATTTCACTGATCTCAATGCTTATATTTCTCCATCTATCGTAGAGGGCATTAAAGCCCTGTTCCCGTTTTAATTCGACAGGAGGGAGTCGGTAGCGCTAGGTGAAATTCTTCCACTGTTCCTCATTAGCAGTAGAGATTCTTATTTGTTGTCGCAAGCTTGTCTCACAGACATCGTCCATGGCAAGCGTGGTTTCCGCCTCCCTATTTCCTTCTTTCATCACAGACTTTGCTCACATTTGTATGTCACGTTCTTGTGACCCTTGTTTTATACAACCGTTTCTTTCTTCTTGCTCCTCTTCTTTTCTCTCCTTCTCAATCTCCCAGTCTTTTAGTCCCCTCATTTGGTCCTCAGAACAATTCCTGAAAAGTCGATAGAGTTCGCGTTCAAAACATCTTCTCTCTCTAAGACGGTCATGAATTATCTACTTCTCTCTCTCACATCTCCCCCTTACGGTCCTCTCCACACTGCTCTTCTTTCCTCTTCTTTCTCCTTCTTTTTCCCTCCTCTTTCTGCTCTTTGAATCTCTCTTTGCTTCTTCTTCCTCTTCGTCGTACGAGGAAGTGGAAATATGGTAATTATCTCTGTCTGTCTCTTCGTCTCCTTCGTAATTGGACTCGAAGGCAATTATCCGCGTCTCCTCCTCTTCCTCCATTCGTCGGTCTCTCTCTATCTCCCTTTCGTCTCTCTGTCTCTCGTCCGCCTCTTCCTCGATTCGCAACTGCCACCTTCCCGTCTCTCCCTCTTCCCATCTTTCTTGCCTGTTTTCTCTCTCACTCCATTCTACTGGGAGGCCGAACAGGTCCAGATTTTGGGTCAGATTTTGGGTCAGATTTTGGGTCAGATTTTGGTCGGATTTCCCCGCTAATTCGAAAAATTTCGGCTCTTTTTGAATCTCGATTTGCGCGCCATCTTGTTTCACCTGGCCGTGTCCGAATCCGTCGCTAAATGGCTCCGACGTCGCGGAGGTGTTGAAGACCGCCTCGGGGACCTCGTTCGTCAGGGACCACCCACGCCCCTCCTGCGCCCCCACGCCCAACACCACGCCCGCGGCCGCCCCTCCCGACCCGGGCGTGACCACGACCTCGCAACTCTCCAAACTCTCGAAGTCGAAGACGTCGTCGCTCGGCGGGCCTTCGAACGACCTCAACATGGCGCCCTTTTTCGAAGCTCCCGAAATGTTCGAATCGTCGGCCGGTGGCTTCGGATCGCGTCGCGAAACTGCCGCACTCGTTGCCGCAGTCGCCGGAGCGTCGCAAGCGGCCCTCGGCAGTCCTGCGTCGCTTGCGGTTCGACTAAAACTGAGAGAGGAGGAGGAAGGAGGAGTTTGAGGACCGGAAGTACAGTCGCCATGAACCGGATGCGGGTCGACCTCGCTACAGGGACCCTCTTCTCCCTTCTCTTTGTCTCCGTTGTTGTTCTCTTCGCTCTTCTCCTTCCCTGCTTCTGAAAGACAAAAAACATTATCAAAATGGTATTTCTGATCTTCGCAAATTTTATATATTTGTGTTTCAGGAACGGTTAACTGTTCATAGTAACGGGGTTTGTAAAGTTCCCACGATAGAAAACGGGAGATAATTGTTTTTTGTTCAATGGGAACCTATGATATTTTTTTCTGTTTAAATTTCTTTTTCTTTCTTTCTTTCAATCTTTCATTCTTTCTTTCTTTCTTTCTTCTTTCTCTCTCTCTCTCAGAAAGTGAGAATGAGAGAGGGAGAGGGAGATTAAAAATAGATAGATAGATAGATAGATAGATAGATAGGATAGAGATAGACAGATAGAGAGAGGGAGAGAGGAGAGGGG